CCTCGCAGCCGCCGGCTGCATCTTCTCTCGTCCTTCCGACGACAGTCCAGTCCCCCCCTTGAACCCAAAGAGGGGTTTAGGTTTAGGGTTCAGGGATGCTCGGGGGTTTAGGGGTTTACGGATTGAAACCGAATGGCCGTTCTTCAAGCTGGCAGAAGGGGTTTGGGCGTAGGTTCGAGCGATTCTCACAGGGTAGGATCCGGGGATACAGAGTTTAGTAGCTTGGAAAGTCAGGGACACGGCACCTCGGTCGGTCATGGAGCTAAGTGCTGTCTTCGGCCTCAAAGTGAAGTCAGGCTCGAGGGTTCTACCCGACCTCCTCTACTCTCGCAATCGGGTTTCGCATCATGAATTATGTAGCCCCACACTTTTGAGGCCCCCTTTGGATTGCTTGTTGGCTACTCTTGTGGGAATTCGGAGCAACACTGCGAGCATCAGGGTTATTCGGTGACCGGGACAAAGGAGCATTGTGAGGTTGCTGTTAGGGGATTACCGCGTTGATGATCCGTTTTGGGATAGGTTGGAGACAGCGCATAGAAGTATCAAGGAAGGCTTTGTCGTGCTCGAAACACAAGCAGTTGGATGAAGCTCTTTCCACCTCGGAAATAAACGATGCAACCAATAAAACTGTGGACCAGCTTTGAGATCCTACGGCTTTGCTATTCCCACTCACCACCACCATCATCAGCATCATCGTCATCACAGCAGCTATCACCACAGTAGGCATCATCGTCATGGTACTAGTCATCCGCTCCATTTCTTTCCGACCATTCATGCGGAACCTTCGGCCGAAACTCACAAGCTAGGAGTCTACAAACCCGCCATCCCTTGACGCCCACCCCCTCACTGCGCAAGACGGGAAAGCGAACCACCCGATCGATTGCCCCCAAAATACCATAATAGAGAAACCATGTTATTTATTATAGATCCCTGTTATGGTAACTTACTGTATCTCATACCCCTCCCACATTCCCTTGTGGGCCTTTCTCCGGGCTGTGCCAAGCGGCAGCAGGATCTACGCTCCCAACCCCAGAATGTCTCTGCGGGCTTTTTCTGACATGGCCAGATGACAGATGTGTTTTGCGAGGTGGTCGCTGCCGAGTGAGTAAGGGTCGCCTCTGCACCATGCAACAGACTGGGCTTTGGGCGAAAGTCTGGAAATTTGAGCTGCGCAGTCTCTAACTTTGCGTGCCGCCCTCTACACATCCCTCAACGACTCCTGCTCCACAGAGCCAGAAAAGGCCGCGAAAGGGCCCCGGCATGGTATGAAAGGGCTGCCCACGGATCCCCCCACTTTCGATCAGACTGTAGCTCTTCTTCAGACAATAGATTTTTGGAGATCCTGCAAGTCCAAACAGTTGCAGACAGAAAGGGCGAAGGATGCTGAGCCTCAAGGCAGGACCCAGATTGCAGACTGGGCGGCATGCGCCATAAACTTGAAGACGTAGATTCTGAGGGACTTTAAACCGCTCACGATCTTGAAGTCTAGGCTACGGATTGAGGGTTCCTTCCGGCGAGCTGGCCCGAGAGGAAGCTGTCAGCGCTGTACAAGAGCTGCCGATTCCGCTATGACCAACCCTAAACTAAACCCTAAACCCCTAGAACCCTAAACCCCTAAACAGCATCGCAAGCCCCGCTGAACTCGAAGGGTCTACAAACTCGACGACTTTGCTCAACTCCTTCGACCAGGATCCCGGACCCTCTGCCCGAAGATGCCGCCTCGACAACCCGTCACCAGCCCCGTTCCCAAGACAAGGAAAACCCCCCCCCCCAACTCACCGCAAAATGGGAGGGGCCTGTGATGGTGCACTCGCGCCCTGCAGGGCAGCTGGCCACGTTGTTGTCCAGAGGGCCGGTGACCTCCACCCTTCAGAGCTGACGTGTACTGTAAGAAACCCTGGGCCTTTATTTCCGGCTCCTTTAAAGGGGTCTATAAGGGTTACTCTAGGGGATCTATAAGGGTACTATAATAATGTAGGAACCTGATTAAGAAACCGTGGGCCTATAACCCCAAAATAGCAGAATTCATACCCTAAAACAGACCCAAGGTTTCTTAATCAGGCTCCTAGATTAGAAGCGGCCAGGTCTGCAAAACTGAGTTTCAATTGAGGAGGCACCCCAAAAGCCCTGCTTCTGAGGGACCATACACTCAGGGAAATGTGTTCCACAAAAGAATCACCCTCCAGCGCTCTTCAGTGGTGCATGATTTCGGGAGGCTTTGCAGCAGGTGTCTGGAAATTAAAGAGGTGCACAAGTTTCGGGATCAAGAAGCAGGCGCTGCGGGTAGAGGGCTTGATCCAGTATTCTGCAATATCGCAACGCATCTGAAGGGGCTTTACACAGGCTCAGGCTTCGCAGGTGCTGCTACGCCACTTTGGATGAGTGGGTAAGCATGCTACTCATCGGTCCAGTACGAAGCATTGCTTCGATTTCGACATCAGCTCCTGTTCGTCCATGCGGGCGCGTGTTAAACGATTGAGGCTCTCCCAGCCCTGACCCTGCGGTCTTTTTCAGTTCTTCTGCCGCCCGTCCCCTGAACTGGAACCCGTGAAGTCTCACCGAGTCCCTTCGCGGATTCTATCTACTTACACCCGTCAGCCTCAACTCTCACTACTTAGCCTGGAACACTTCATATGGGTGATTGTCAAAATTATGATCCCTTTTTGGGTCCCTGATACAGCACGGCATCTAATATTCAGGGTATCCAAAAAGGGACCCTAATTTCGACAACCACCCATATGCTTACCGAGATCTCGGGCTCTCTGCAAATCCTACGCCAAGAAGTCGGTGCCCAAACCACATGCTAGGTATCATTCTCAGCCGCGGGGCACATCCACCGTGACACGCACGTTGAAAGCCTTCGTTTGGAGCTTGGAGTGAAGCACACACCCTCGACACCCAGTCTGTGACTGCAGATACCATGGCAAGCATGCATATAATGGCTAGCATGACTACGAGGTTACGGTATGATAACTGTGAGGTAAGCGTACTGCCCGTGTTTTAACTTGCAGGCAAATACGAACACACAAGGAGATTTGGACCTTGCAATATCAGCACAGCAGTCTGTCTTTTGCAATGGGTCTTGCCTGAGAGCGAGCGAGCGAGAGAGAGAGAGAGAGAGAGAGAGAGAGAGAGAGAGAGAGTGAGAGAGAGAGAGAGTGAGTGAGTGAGTGAGTGAGTGGGTGGGTGGGTGGGTGGGCGAGTGAGTGAGTGAGTGAGTGAGTGAATGAGTGAGTGCGTGGGTGGGTGAGTGAGTGAGTGAATGAATGAGTGAGTGAGTGAATGAATGAGTGAGTGAGTGTGTGAGTGAATGAATGAGTGAGTGAGTGGGTGAGTGAGTGAATGAATGAGTGAGTGAGTGGGTGAGTGAGTGAATGAATGAGTGAGTGGGTGAGTGAGTGAGTGAATGAATGAGTGAGTGAGTGAGTGAGTGAGTGAATGAATGAGTGAGTGAGTGGGTGAGTGAGTGAGTGAGTGAATGAATGAATGAGTGAGTGAGTGGGTGAGTGAGTGAGTGAATGAGTGAGTGAGTGGGTGAGTGAGTGAGTGCGTGAGTGAGTGAGTGAGTGAATGAATGAGTGAGTGAGTGGGTGAGTGAGTGAGAGAGAGAGAGAGACAGCAAAAAAGAAAGAAAGAAGGAACGAGCTGAGCTGAAGAAAGACAGAAAGAAAGAATGAAAGGAACTGGCCCCTCCAAATCCTCAAATCATGTAGGGTTTAGGGACGAGCTGCACATCTCCAACAAGACTCGCTCACAAACCTCTTGAAGACCACTACGGAGAGCCGCACAAAGCCGACATCAGAACTCCCACGGGACATCAAACCCAAAGCCACCAGAACAGCGATCTCAAGACCAGCTAGGAGAGCCGAATAAAAACAAAATCCCTCCTTTGAAGCCCCTTATACAAACCCTCAAAAATCCACCCTTCCCCCCTTCCCCAAGAATTTCGGAAACTCCTGAACCCTAAACCCTAAACCCTCATAGATCCCTTCGAGGAACCCTTAAAGGATCCCTTTCAAGGAACCCCCAAGAATTGTCAAAAACCCTAGACCCTTTAGATCCCTTTAAGGAGCCCTTAAAGGGATCCCTTTAAAGGAACCCCCAAGAATTCTCAAAGAAGGAAAAAAAAGCACCCAAGGGCGGCCTCCGGCGGCGCGCTCTCGCAGCCAAAGGGCCGACTCCCGGAGTCGCAGGCCTCAGGAAAAAAGGGGCGCTCTTCGGATTTTGCGGTGGATTTTAGGATTTAGGGTTTAGGGGGTTTGGGTTCAGGGTTTAGGGCTGAGGGTTTAGAGTTTTGGGGGGGGTTTTGGGTTCCTTACTTGGAGGTTCAGGGTTAGTTATAAGGGCGCTCTTTGGGTTTTGGGGGTTTAGGACTTAGGGTTTAGGGGTCTTTGGCTTACCGTTGGATAGTAGAGAATTGAGGAATGGGGTATAATTATAACTACTATTACTACCATTCTTCCATTCCCTACTAAGCAGCCTTAGGAAAAAAGGCGCTCTTCAGGTTTTGGGGGGTTTAAGGCTTAGGGTTCAGGGCTTTCTTTTTTTTTGAACGCCTTTTTCCGTCTGCTAGCTTGCTAACGTCCAGAATCTGCCATAGCAGAAGACTGTTGGCCCCTTGACAAACTGACGACCTTGGCTACACATCCCGACGAACTTCCAGCTCACATGACGACCCCGACTGTCGAGAACGGTGAGGGTTTAGGGCTTCGGGTTTAGGGCTTAGGAAAAAAGGCGCTCTTCCGTTGGGGGGTTTGGGGATTAGGGGTTTTAGGTTTTTTTTTTGTGAGCTCCTTTTCTCAAGGGGTTTTAGGTTTAGGGTTTAGGGCTTAGGGTTTAGGGTGTAGGGGTTGGGGACTCTTTCAGGGCTGCCGGGGGGTTTTGGGGGTTCCTTACTTGGAGGTTCAGGGTTAGTTATAAGGACGCTCTTTGGGTTTTGGGGGTTTAGGGCTTAGGGTTTAGGGGCTTAGGGTTTAGAGTTTAGGGTTTAGTTGAAGGTTTCGGGTTTAGGGTTGAGGGGTTTGGGTTTAGGGGTTTTGGGGTTTTGGGGTTTAGGGGTTTAGGGGTTTAGGGGTCCCTTAAATGGGAACCCTTAGCATTTCCCCTAGCAAGGCGCTTTTGTGGGGGGGGGGTTCCTCTTACCCGGAGCCCTCTAAAAAAAGCTTCTGGGTTTTCAGGGTTGGGGATTCTTTGAGGGCTGTTGGGGCCGGAGGCTTCTTTAGGGCGTTAAGCGGTGAAAGTCGGATGGTTTCCGGGCTTGGGCTCCTCTACTGCTTCATGGCTGTGGCTTCAGAAAAAAATCTTGGAGCTCTTCTGAGTGTTCGCTGCTGAGGTGGGGTTTTTGAGTTGAGACCGCAGCCAATGGGCTCTGTGCCCTGCATCTGTGGGGATGTCAGCTTCTAAGAACTCGCGGAGTGCTAGGTATCCGCATGCTGCAGAATACGTCTCGGGCTTTGCTGCTAGAAGGGTCCTTGGGTGCCTTCTGAGCTTTGTGGCCTTTCGGACTTTGGTGTGTTGATAGTCTTCGGGCCCATGCGCACTAGGAGTGTCGCAGTCGCAGTCGACACTGATCTGGCTCTGTGCTTCGGGTTATGCTGGCATTCAGCCCTCTTACAGTAGAAGCCAAAAAGTTGGAAACCCGATAGCCTCAATCCTTAAGACTAATGTATAGCGAGTCCCAGCACTATTTGGCCTTAATTAGGTTTCCAACTTTATGGGGTTTACTGTAAACCCTAAACCCGCAAACACAATTCTACTTCTGAGCAGCCGTCAACCCAGAAAGGCCTGAGCTGCAACTTCCTGACTCGACCTCACCCCTTAAACCCCCAAACCGTACCACATGGGGGTTTCCGAAAATCGGGGATCCCAGATAGTACCCTAAATAAGAGGATCCTTATTAAAAGGACCCCCAAATAAGGTACCCCTAGTTTTCGGAAACTCCCATATCCCACGCCCAAAGCACCTGAGCCCCAAAACCCCACATTGACTCCCCAGTCCCCTCCTGAAAGGCCGCAAGCTCAATCTCTGATGCATGGGCAAACCGAGCTGCACAGATGCGAACCGGACCCAGGTCACTGAAGATCACCTCAATTTGCGTACATTTTGTTTGTTTTTGATTATTGTTATTGTACATTATAGTACAACATTTTTCTAAGTCGGAGTCCAACTTTACGTACTGTGTTAATAAGAGCTTCTTCATCAAGCCTTGCTTGCTTTAAGGGCTCCGCGCTGGTATTGCTGCAGGATCCCAAAACGGAGCTGGCTCTAAATTCGGAAGGGTGAAAGGTCACAGGTTGTGCGCTTGAGCTTTGAAGCTGAGGGCGGGAAGGAGGAAGCAAACTTGCTTTGGGTTTGGAAGGTCGCCCCTGCAGCAGGGCTTCCGGCGGTTTTGCAGAATGTCGCCTGGGGTTTTGTTGCAGGCTCCGGTGGCAAAAGATGCCACTGGGATAAAATTTCAAGCTTGGGGCCTTGGTGATGCTGCAGACAGACGGGTTCAGGGAGTGTGAATTGTGGCCACGAGATTCCCGCTTTTCGGCAAGCTGAGGTCCGAAGGCTTGCAGAAACTGCTGCCCACTGCGATTGTGACCTCCTCGGCTGTGAGTCATTCGACCTCCACGAAGCCAGAAACCCTGTCCCGCAAGCCCAGAACCCGGTAAACACCAAGACGTTTTGCTGAGCCCTGCGCACTTGCTGGAGGAGCGCCACAGATCATGAGCTCCTTAAAGGAGAGGATCCCCTACTTTTTTCGAGCTTTGGTTCTATACGGCTTCGAGATGACAGCGGCGCTTAAAGACCCCGAAACTCAAGCTTGTTGTCGTTTTGGCAATGTTCCACAATGGTGGGGTTAGGGCTTGTAGGCTCTGATAGGGTCGATGGCTTCTTGAACCTCATGTGAGCGATACCAGGGGTGATTGAGGTGGCTGCCTCAGTGCACAAGGCCTTAAACCCGTCCACCATGTCAAAACAAAAGCATCCCTGAGCTGGTTTCTCAGCCACGGCGCTGGGGCAGAGCCGGTGTTGTTGCCTCGGCTGTCTTCTGTGGAAAATCCGCCGGATATCCGTGCAGGAACTCTACAGCCCCGACCAAAATGCCTTTGGGGCTTCACGGATGCATGTGCGAAAGTGCCCCTAAACTCCGGGGAATAGCTCGAAAAAGATTTTGCGGCCTGACGCTGTAGCTCCTCAAGCCTGTACTAAACACGGAACACGCAACGCCCAGCTGCAAGGCATGGCCAGCCAGTCGGCCCAGGTCGCCGGACTCGCCAGGGAGTTTCACGAAATGATTTGGCATTGGTTTTGTTGGCCTACATTTGATTCCGAGACTTGGGATTTCTGGTGCTTAGGGGGTAGAGAAGGGGAAGTACTGGAACAAAGACAAGCGTGGTTGAAACTTAAGCTATCGGGGATAGGGATGAAATGGAGCCTGTCGAACCCTCTTCACCAATTCGAGGACCACCAAAGCCTCACCAAGATGCCACAAACATCAAGAACACGACAGGCGACAACCTAGACAGCCCCTCGTGGCAGACGACCTCTACTCTTACCTTCCTTCCGGTACCACAGCTCACTCTGCCACTCGGATCCGAAACGGCACACCAGGACGGAACACTTGGGTGAAACCTCTCTGGAATCTCCTTCCCTGTCTCGTGTGCACGTGATGTGGAGGCAGAGGCCAGCACCAAGGGTGTCGCTGCCCGAATCTATATTGAAGTAAGATATAGGGTTGAAAAACCCTCGAAGAAAGATACTGACCAAAAAGCCTCACAGACCTCCTCCAAAGCATGAGAGCGCTGCCACCTGGTGCCCACCACCGCATAGTCCCCTGGAGCGATCTGCGGCCGGGCCTGCAGGGGACAGGCCGTTTTCTCTTAGCCCCCAAACCCTGGCCTTAAACCTTAAAACTTGAAGCCTAAACCCGAAAGCCTAAACCCTAAACTCGCTCCCGACAAGATCTTCATGCTGGGCTTTTCTCATGCTGCCTATGGGCTGCCTCTCGCTGCTGCGTCTCCTGGTTTCTCCTTTGTTATCTGGATTTAGGGGTCCTTATAATAAGGATCCTACTACTTAGGGTACTGTATTAGGGTCCCCTATTCTGGGAAACCCCCATCTGTGTCCTTCAGACAAGGTCAGAGCCGAGGTAGCCTTGAACTCTGCAACCTTGACCCGGACTCCTCCAAAGCCTTCTGGGATTTTTAGGGTTTGGGGTTTAGGGGATTACATAGGCTTTAGGGTTTCGGCTTCAGGGTTTAGCTTGTGGGTTTAGGGTTTAGTCGCAGGGCACCACGCCGAAGATGAAGCCATAAGAATGAGAACTTAAGGCTTGAGGCTTAGTCTAGTGGGGCAGATATGGACTTCTTTTTTGTGAGTTGTAGAGATGATGCAGGATTTAGGGTTTAGTGGTCAAGCCGCGCCTATCCACAAGCCATCCAGAGCAACAAGATCTAACGAATCAAGTCCCGAAACAGCTCTATTTTATCTAACTACGTAGTATTACAATATACTTTAGGGCAGCGCCTGACCGCACACCACTGTGCTGGGGAAGGCCACCAGTCGATCCTGCGCCAGTCGCCAAGCGTGGAACTTACCTACAGACAAACACTGAGATCCTGGAGATCAACACTTGGGGATTTAAGCATGTAGATTACCATAGGGGCCTCACTCATTACCTATACTATTTTGGGGGTTCCTCATCATAATTGTAGTACAATGAACCCTGGAGGTTATCAGGCCATGCAGGTCTGGGACTGGATGCTTCCGGGCGGGATGGGCTGCCTGGAAGCTCGAGAGTGCGGAGATCGCGTCGGTTCGGAGTTTTTATAAAACAGAGGTGACAGAAAAATTGGAAGAACCGAACTCTCTTTGTCTGTTTTGGAGGGCTTTGGAAATGCCAGCGGAATCGCCAAGATCTTCGAGAAGTCGGATTTTGGGCAGGAAGCCCTTCGTGACGCGACCACAACTTCAGGCGACTGCTCAAACAGAAGTGAGGATGACAACAGTTCGACGTCGGAAATCTGTAGCATGCAGCCACGAGCTCAGCTAGAAATCCAGCGCGCCCCAAGGATTTCGCCAGTCAACAAACAAGAATAATCAAAATCCGCAAAACCGCCCCCTCCTTGAACGCTTAAGCCCGAAAACTCTGAGTCGCCCGGCGAAGCTGGTGTCGAAGTGCTCACCCTTCAGGGAGATCGTGAAGGGAATCCTTGGATTTCCCACTGGTTGCAGTTTCTGCTTTGGGGCTTTGAGGTTAGTGTCGGTGTTGCGAGGACCCTGCAGAAACCGCGTGCCCGCACATACCGAGAGCATCCAGCACAGCTTCAAGGGACCAGGACATACCTGTGCTTCATTCGTCATCCTACAGTCATGCAGTCCTACACGTCATTCAGAAGACGAGCAAGCTCGGCGCGGCCTAAACCGGTGTATCAGCGCTGTTTTGCACCACAGATCGCCTCCTCTCTCAGCAGACGGACAATCTTAGTGTGGCCTTATACTTCTACTCGCCAGCAGCCCCAGCCTCGACCAGCAAACGGACAACTTGGATGTGGCCGTTAGAAGCTGCGTGATCCAGAACAGACTTGCCGTCCAGGGCGCACGCGTTCTTGTCAGCACCAGCATCCAGAAGTACTCGGACTATCTCGCTGTGGCCGTGACAAGCTGCGGGCAACAGAGCTTCACTGCAATCGGCGCCTGCATCGAGCAGCAACTGTATAATCTCGAGATCGCCTGCGGGGGCGGCAAGTCCCAGACTTGCATAGCACTTTCTATCAAGATCTGGCAGTTTTTTGCTAGCACCGGCATCCAGTAGAAGATGGGCAATCGTGATGTGGCCGTTGCAGAGTGCGTGTGCGAGAGCAGACTTGCCGCCTCTGTCGCACGCGTCCTTGTTGGCCCCGGCATCCAGCAGAAGATGGACAACCTTGACGTGGCCGCTATATGCTGCGTGCATGAGGGCAGTCATACCGTATGGATCAGGCATGTCCGCCGCAGCGCCAGATTCCAACAGAAGTCCAGCAATCTCAGTGTGACCAGCGGAGGCAGCATGGATGAGAGCTGTCTTGCCCTTCGTATCCGGCACGTTCGTGTCCGCACGAGCTTTCACTAGCAGGCGTGCAACTTCAGTACGGCCCTGAAGCGCAGCAACGCTGAGAGCTTTACAACGGCAGACCTGATCGTTGCACACTTGAAGCAGCCGTCGTGTCGCTTCAACGTGCCCTGTATTGGCAGCGAAAGACACAAGCTCTGTTCCAGCATCGAGCCAGCTGCCAGCTTCCATCGACAACATCAGCTGCAGTTCGCAGGGTGCAGCGACATCGGTTTTATCTGACAAGCAGTCGCCACCACATATCAGCCGCTGCATGCAGAACGGGAAGCCGTGCTCGCGGCGCAAGTAATGTTTCAGGTCCCAAACACGAATCTTCTCCCTGGAGATAGGCGGTAGCTCTTCTCCGGAAGCCAACCAAATGCGCAACATTGCTGGAGCCTCTACATGCTCCGAAGCAGGAGGCATTTTTAGCCCCCAAAACCCTCAATGCTGCGAGCCTTGGCAGGCCCTAGCAGACATGCCCTCAATCATAAGCCCTTCACAAGCGAAGCACTGTCACCCCACAAGCCCTTTCAGCCCGACCTACATGGATTCAATACGAGATGATGCACCCCATTCACCCTCAACCCGAATGCTGAAACCCTGCATCCTCAATCCCCTTGAACCCTTAAATACTAAAGGCCCTCAATCCTTCAGTCGTGCTAGACTTGGCTGGCTGGACTGGTCGGAGACTAAACGGACACCTGTCAAACTACACTATGATTATGTCTATATTCTTGTTACATGTTACACTATTATTATTCTTGACATTATTGCTGGTATTGCTATTATTGCTTTTAGTGTTACTATTGTTATTAATATGTATTATTGTTATTCCTGTTGTTACTGGTATTAGTATTCATTGTTTTGTATTTTTTGATGCTTCTTATGCATATTAATATTCCTCTTGTTACAGGATGCCCCCCCAAACCCTGAACCGTAAACCCTAAACCCTACCCCCCCCCTGTTTTCATGGACGCCGGGCCGCCCTCGGACGATGGGCGTCGGGCTGGTCTCGTAGAGGTTGCCCCGAGGCCGGAAGTAGAGCACCGAACCTCGGTACTCTACGAGGCTTAGGATTTAGGGCTTAAGGGGTTTAGGGTTTAGGGCTTAGGAGGGTTTAGGAAGCTTTAGAGTTCTAGAAAGTTTAGGGTTCTAGGGAGTTTTGGGTTTAGGGTTCTAGGTTTAGGTTATAAGGTTCTAGGGTTTAGGGTTTACAGGGTATAGGGTTGAGGGTTTAAGGTACCGGAGATGGCTGGGGAGTCTCCGAGGTGCGGGATGGCAGCTTCTGGCAGTTCGAAGCTTTTCCCCTGGGCTGAACAGCTTAGAGCGCAGATCTTATGGTTGTCCGTCTCCCCGCTTTCCTCCAAGCTTTGGGCAAGGTCCCGAACAGTGTCTGTGCAGGGCGTTTGGCGTAGCAACCAGGGAGAAACTTGAGTCAGGAACCCTCAAACGAAACTTTAAGCCCACAAAGACCCAAGTGCATAATTCAGAGTCAACGAACATCTGCGCCAACCCTACTGCCTTAACCCACGCGCGATTTAAAAAAAAAACCAAGCTCTTAAAGAACCCGAACCCGCTTGCAAGGCGTCCCGAAGTTCTTCCCTTTCAACACGCCGAAGTTCATGAACCCTAAACCCGAAACCCAAACCCCTGGAGACCCTGAACCCTGACCCCTGTAGACCCTAAACCCCAACCCCTGCAGACCCTAAACCCTAACCCCTGTAGACCCTAAACCCCAAACCCTTGTAAAACAGGGGCCTTAATAACATGGGGGTGCGGGCCTGGGACGAAAGCTATAATAGTTAAGCTTCTCTGACAGAGGGGGACTTTCCAGCACCCAAGGCAGGCAGCCGAGCAGGCACTTGCAGGTGTCGTGTCTTGTCTATGTTGTGCATGCAGGGCGGTCCTGGGCGAAAGAACGGAGCGCAATCAGAGATTAATTCGAATCGAAAAGAACATGAGCAGGGGGAGTCCGCATGGAACTCCGCATGTGATGAAAAAGGGGCGTTCTTTCAAAGATGGATCTGTGTCGATTATTTCGGCATGGCTGCCTTAGCCAGTTTTTGTAGGCTTGGCGGCAACTGAGGCATAGTTTGAGGCGCCAAGTTCAGTAGCACTCGTCTAGATGGAAAGTCGCATTGAGCTGCAGCAGACATAAGGCGCGAGAGCTGCTCTTTGAAGTTTTGGCTCAGTATGAAAGCGCTTAAGAAATCTCGAAGAGCTACAGTACTAAACGCTGGTCGAAGGAGCCGTCGCCTGTGAACCACGGTGAAGCTGCTGCAGCAGGTCGACTGCATGTCATGTCTCACGCAACAAGAACGTTGAGAAGGAAGTCTTTTCCGGGCACTAGAAGTGCAGGGCTGTTCGGGACAGGAGCCGTTGGCCAGGACCAGCACGTTGCAAGGCGAACCTTATCAGCCGCTCTCTCCCAATGGAGCAGAGATGTGCGGAGTCCACTGGCAGAGCTTGCACTTGAGAAATGTGGCATTGCGCAGAAGAGTTCGGGCGCCGATCCGCGTCGCTTCGGACGCCGGCACGAACCCACGTCGAAAACGAACAACCAGCGCCTCGAGGAAGTCCAGGAACGCGTCGGCAGCATCCTCTCCATTCGGGGGATGCCGTCGGAGATTAATGGTGCCGGAGGGCATGTCGAGTTTGTGGTGTTTGGCACAGTCCCAGACCAGACCGCGATACCTTGCAGTGCTGACAGTTGACGGCATGCGGCGCAAGGCAGCGGTGCCGTCATGGTACTTGCGCAGCCTGAAGCAGCACAAACAGCTAGAGTCAATCGAAGACACGGATTGAATGCAGCAAGAATGCACCCATGAAGGTGCAAGCATCCCTGGATTTCACAACGTTGCTGTCAAGTCGATGGTGGCTCACAAGCAACGTGCTGCATGCCCGAGAACCCGAAGAGGCGGTGCCACTTGGGGAGATGCATGTCAATGAACCGCGGCAACAAATCGTACTTCTTAGCACTGGTGCACCACTTCGAGGCCAAAGCAACGGCAACAAATCGTACTTCTTAGCAATGGTGCACCGCATCGAGGCCAAAGCAACGGCAACAAATCGTACTTCTTAGCCCAGGCACTGCGAGCTAGCTTAGGCACATGACGGAGGACAGGGACTCGGGCTTGGCAGACCTGGCCTATGTCGGGTACCGCACCCGCGCAATGGTCGTTGAGATGGGCCTGCATGTTGGAGTGATTGCTCTAGAGGTATCGGCACACGGGCATCCTGGAAGGGGGAGAAGACGCGGGGTTAGTGGCAGCGCGCTGGTGGCGCCCAGGGCGGGCGCGCGGGGAGTGAGGGGCCAGGTGTGAGGCTTCGTCGTGACGCACTCCCCGGCTCGGCCAACCCGACCAACGTCGTCGGGTGGCATGGTGGCGCCAGTTGCGGCGTTGGGGCCCGCATCTGCGCCGGAAGACTGGATGCGGTAGGCGGGGGCGCCAAAGGTCTGTTGGGTGCGGGTCGGGTGCAGTGCTGGTCCAGGCAGAGTTTAGTTGGCAGGTGAGCTCGCGTCGCCGCCCCCTCCCGATGGCTGCATTGTGGCGGGGCCGGGGTCGGGGCGTGTACGGCTGCACATGTGGGGAGGAGTGCTAGGACAAGCACACTGCGGAGCAGGAGACTAACAGACTTGGTGCCGGGCGAAGGGGCCATTTTCGGCGGCTCCCCTGCAGAACGAGGAGCTGCATGCAGCCAGGCGGTCGTGAGTGGCGGAGCCGGACGGTCTCCACTCCAGGGCACTGGACGCACTCGAGGCGGAGCCAGACTGTCCTGGAGGAGGAACCGGATGCCAGCGCAGGGATGGCGGCGCGGGCGACGGAGGGACCGGATGCTGGCGTAAGTATGGCGGCGCAGGGAACCTGAAGATTAGGTGCCGGGATTTGCCGCTTTTCGTGGCGGTACTCCGCTAGCTCCACAGGGGCTAGCTTTCGTGATTAGAATAGTTAGGGTATTGGGGTTTTTGTGTACTCTAAGAAAGATACGGAACCCCAAAAACCCTAGAAGCCCGAACTCCAACTCGGCTGCCGCCCGGCCACGGCTGTCGCAGCTCTGCGGCCCCGAATGGAAACCCGCAGCCGGGGAGGCGCTGCCGCTGAGGGGCCCTTGCTGAAGCTGAATCGTTTAGGGTCTATGGGGATTAGTGTCTTTAGGGTTTGGGGTGGAAGGCTTAGGGCCTATAGGGTTTAGCGTTTAGGGCGAAAGGTCTACAGGGTTTAGGGTGTAGGATTTAAGGGGATATTAAGACTTTCGGGCTCTTGGATTTACGGGGCTTGGGGGGCTTGGAGGGCGAAGGAGTCTGGGTTTCGGGGCCTGCGGGGCTTGGGGCGATCAGGGTTGCAGGGATCATGAAGGAAGGCTATAAATCAATGTTGACATAAGGGATATTTGAGAATGAGCGTTGTGGTTCTGGCAGTTCGGCTAAGGACCAAGATAGGTCAAGGGTGGAGGAGGGCCGGGCCTGTTGTAGCCCAGGGTGTGTGGTTGAGGTGATCTGAATAATGGATTCCCAACTTGAATCCTAGACTTTGCTTCAGACACAAGTAAACCCTAAACCCAAAACCCAAACTCTTTCTGGCAACAACAGCACCTGATCGACCCTACCCGGATCCCAACACTGCAGGGTTCCTGAGGAGAGAAGGTCGCAGCGCTGGAAGTCGGGAGAAGAAGCGCCGTAGACGTAGCGGAAATGGAGGCACGTAGCGCCTTTCACTGTGAAGTCTACATCTAGGGTTTAGGGTTTGGGGTTTAGGGTGGAGGGGGTGGAAATGATTCAAAGAGGACCTGGGAGATTTGGGGTTGGGTAATTCTTGGGATTGGGGCCTTGCGATGCGTCCTCTTTGGTGCGATCTCACAGCAAAGGTGGGAGGGCTTCTGGCGCTCGGTTCTGAGATGCTTGGAACCTCCCAGGACACGGCGTGTAACGACCTGACACATGCCCAAAACGCTGCCATTCCGGCATTCAGAACAACAATCGCAGCTGTCGCATCACTAATTGTAGCTTGGGGTGTGGATCCCGCGTGGGTTCGGTCTGAGCTTCAGCTTGCTGCAATTTCGTCGCCAGGCGGCTGGCTGCACAAAGCACTTGGCAAGCGACGGAGTCCGCAGCTGTGGTGTTGCTCTCCCTGGGAATAGGGCGCGTTTGTTGGCGGGGGTATTGAACAGCCTTGCACTAGTCTGTGGTCTTCTTGTATTTGCATGGGCAGGCCAGAATCTCTTCTGGGGTCGGGGATACTGGAATACTTGCCCCTGGCTGCGACCCGGCTCTCTGCGTGTTGGAAGTCGAGACGCTGCCTCTCACCTTCAAGGAGCTCAACCTAAACCCTGAACCCGGAACCCGAAGCCTGGAACCATAAACCCTGAACCCTACACCCTGAACCCGGAACCCTAAACCCTAAATCCCAAACCCTAAACCCTGCACTCTAAACCCGAAACCTCTCGAAAACTTGCTAGAATCTAAACTCAGTCTTCACTTGCACCCTAAGCTTGACACCTAGATCATTGCACGACGAAGCCCGTGCCGGTCTCAGGAATCGCGAACATTCCCGCCTCAAGCCCAAATCTCAAGACACCTGAAAACCGCTGCTTTCAGCTTCGAAACACGGTCGCCCCGGCGTAGTCATAGTCAATGTCGAAACCTTGCTTTTTGACTTCAGGATTCAATTCTTTGATGTTAGAAGGTCTACCTCTAGAGGTTCTGGATTTGGTAGCTTTCTGGGTCTGGGGCACGGAGCCCCAAAATCTAAAGCCAAGCCGTGTCAACCTTGCATTGCACAAAGCCCTTGAGTGCAGCAGCCGAACTGCTCCGAACGGAATGGACTGCAGGGCTCCGTAAAGCCCTCCTAAGCCCCGAGGCACTTTCCACGAAAGCGGAAGCCCCAAAGCCCTGAATCCCAAACTCGAAAGTCGAGTACTGTCAACCCTTACCGTCAAAGCCACAAGCCCAAAAGTCCCAGCTCCAAAACCTCCAAAGCCCCAAAGCCCAGGCACAGAAGGGGCCGGTGGGAAGCGGGCTTGGCTCCACGGGCACTGTGACGTTTTCTCGCAGCAGCCTGCAATTTTGCTTTGGTTTCTTGCCATGGCCTTGGCAGAAGAGCTTCAGAGCTTCAGTGCCTACTTGGAGGTTCAGGAGTAGTTATAAGTAGGGCTATAAGTAGGGTAGCTATACGTATAACCAATATTCGGGGACTTATAACCCCACCTATAACTACCCCTGAACCTCCAAGTAGGCTTCAGAGTGTCCTGGCTTGAGTTTAAGGCGAGGATGTGTGAGGCTCTCAGGCTCACAGAAGCACAGGCTCTAGGACTGCTTCCATGTTTGCCGCTTTAGGCTCCAAGGTGTACCACACTCGTTGGGGTCAGATCTGTTGCGACTCTCCGTTGACGGGTGGGTCGAAGCTTTCGCTCCATAAAAACGCCTCTCACCATGAACCGAGGAACGCTGTGACCACAGGATAAAAAGCCAGTCAAGGGTTAGAAGCCTTCAAGCTTTCGTTCCCCTCGAAAAAGCGGGTTGTTTATAAAAACCCTCTTTGCAACCCGACAACACTTCAAGTGCTAGCAGCCCTCCCGCCCATGCAAAAAGCGACTTCCCATCATCGAAACTCTCAACGACAAGTCCTGAAGCACGTACTGAACCCTGATGTATGGGGACCTCAACCGGAGTCCTAAACTCTATACCCTATTCCTGAACCAGCCCAGAATGCAATCCCAAAAAAACTGACTTCCGCCTGGTGCCGTTGCCCTCGAAGTAGACCTGCCGGAATTGACACCGGAAGCCCAACACCCTTCTGCCTCGAAGTAGAATAGTCCCAGGGGCTTAGGGTCAAAACTGTGCAGGGCTTCCGGCTTCGAGGTTTGGGACACCCTTTCGGAAACAAGAGACTGCAGGAATCTCAAGTCAGGCAGCACTTGGAGGTTCAGGGGTAGTTATAAGTGGGGTTAGAAGTCCCCTGATATGGTTTATAGGAAAAGTTACCCTACTACAAACCCTACTAAGAACTACCCATGAACCTCCAAGCAAGAACAAGGACGCTCAACCAAGCAAATCTCTCTGAGCGGCTTGGGATTTAGGGTTGAGCTTTCGATCCAACTGCAGTTCCAGGAGGTTTCTGCAACTAGGAATATGCCTGACCTGAACATCGTTCTTAAACTCCCTGATACTTAGTAGGGAATGGGGGGGTGGATCCCTATAGTAATTCCCCTATTCCCCACTAAGAACCAGACAGATAAAGCCGGAAGGACTGGAGGCTGGTTTCAGGGGCATCGCGGGTCTGCAGTCAAGCGAACGCAAACTTGGCTGAGACGAATCTAAGCCTTCGGGGCTCGAACTCTTGAGTACATGGCTCTTTCCTCAAGCGAATCTGCAGTTTGCTGTTGGCTGAGAATGTGGAACTTGCATCGTGCTCGAAATTCCAACGACTATGCAGCGGAGATTTGCTGATACAAACTATCAAAGAACACAAGTACACAATCTCAACCCCAAATCCCTCAACGCCATGGCCCAGAGCAGCAGAAAACCTCTACCGTGGCCCTTGCCTGCAGCGTGTATTCTGCCCCGTAGGGCAAGTTGCAAAACACGAGGCCGAGCGTCTCGTCTGCACCGGGTGGAACATTGACTGGGTTCTTCTTAGAGCATTTAATTCAAGTTACCATAATAAGGAAACCATATTGTGTACTGTAGATCCCTATTATGGCAACTCAAATTAAATGACTTAGCGAGAACCCAGTTGAAATGTTTGGGCGCTGGGCCGGCAGTTCCTTCCCCTGGTCTCAGGGCTTCAGGGTGTTCAGGGATAAGTCTTCATTGATTAGCAGACTATCAGTACCTTTTCGAACGTGTCTGGCCTCTGCTTTTTGTGCGGGAAACTCTCAGGAATCCGGCACTGCCACTCGCAGGGAGATCTTTGATTTGCGAGTTTCCGAAATTAGGGGTACCTTATTTTGGGGCCCTTATAACAAAAATCCGAGTATTTAGAGTACTATATTAGGCTCCCAACTTTCGGAAACGCCCATTTCGAAGAAGCTTAAGGAGATCTATCGCAAGCCTCTGACACTGCCGGGCCGGGGCCAAGCAAAGGATCCTTTCGCAGGGGATCCGCGCTTCAAGCCGCAGAACCCTGGGGCCCCAGATCCCAACACAACTCCAAACCCTAAGCCCTACTTGGAGGTTCAGGGGTAGTTATAAGTGGAGTGATAAGGCCCCTAACTACCCATGAACCTCCAAGCACACCCCACACCCTCAAGGGTTCAGTCAAGGGCTCCTTTCAAGGGCTCCTTCAACAGCTCCTTTAAAGTCGATAGCACACCCTCAGAGATTACGAGATTCCGTCTAAGGGTTCCTTCTAAGGGATCCTTTAGAGGGCTCCTTCTAAGGGTTCAAATTTTCAGGGCTCCTTCAACAACTCCTTTAAAGGGTTCCTTTCAAGGGCTCCTTTTTGGGGCTCCTTTTAACGGCTTCTTCACAGGTGACAGCGGAGTCGGCCCCCCCCGTTTTCCCCCCGCGCCTGGGAGCGTGATCGCATCGGCCAGGTCCTGGCAGCTCGCAGGACCCACGGCACCGGCTCCGCTCTTCATCTCCTTTGAGTCTCAAGAGAGGGCCCTTCTGCTCTTTGGGTTCTTTGGGTTTAGGGTTTAGGGTTTCTTTTTTGTGGGGGGTTAGAGTTTTGGGGGGCCCTTCTTTTCTTTGGGTTTTGGGTTTTTGGCTTTGGGTTTAAGGCTTTTCTTGCGGGTTTAGGGTCCAGGGTTGTTTTCGTTTTTGTTTTTGGGAGGGGGGGCCTTCTTGGGGTTGTGTAGAGTCCTCCGGCTTGTTTTAGGGCTTAGGGTTTTCTGGTCAACGTTTAGACCTTGGGCCGTCTCGATCCTAGATCGTAAACCGGCAGCGGGGAGCTACCGTGTAAAGCACATTACATACATGCCGACAGACGGACGGCAGACGGACAACAAACAGACCGACATATAGGAGTTTCCAAAATTAGGGGTACCTTATTTGGGGATCCTTATTTGTAGATCCTACCATGTAGGGTACTGTGTTAGGGTCCCCTATTTTCGGAAACCCCCATATAACCGGATGAACGAGCCACTGTAGGAGTGGGCTCGGCACCCGGAGCCGTGAGGAAGAACCAAACCAGGCCAGGCAAGGCCTCAGACAGAGCACAAAAGTGCTAAAAGTGAGATCTTGAGGGCTGGTAAGGAGCGTGAGAAGGCTTTACAAGCGCTTTAAAGAGCTGACGAAAGCTCCATGTTCACGAAAATCTTGGTGTAAAGGTTGGAGCTGTCTTTGCACCGTGTTTCTGACAGCAAGTCATACAAGAGCGGTGCTTATAGATCCCTCAAGGGTGTACACTGTAGGCCTAACAAAGCCCTGCACCCGGAACCGAGCGAAGCCAACTAGCGCCTCATCCCGATGCCCCAAAAACCTGAAGAGGAACGGCATGACAGCGCTGCAGTGACCCAGGGATTCTTCGATTTGTACAAGCTGTAGCAAATGCCCTAAAGCCCTCGCCACGAAGAACCTCGACCCCCAAGCCTAAAAATCCCAAGCCCTAAACCCAAGACACCCTTAAAACGCCTCACCCTGCCTCCGGGGCTGTGATGATGTTGAGGAAGACATCCTGATCGCTGACGTCGACCTCGGCTAGCTTAGGGTTTGGAGCCCTGGATCAGGGTTCGGTCTGGTAGTTTAGGGGTATGCTACGCTATGCTTTTAAAACCCAAAATAGTCTTGGGAAGTCTTTAGGCCCCTTTATTATGTTCGCGCTGTCCAACAGAATCCTGAAAGCCTCAACCCCAAGGGAGCTTCGGGCTGGGCCTTGTTTCAGGAATCCAACTGGAAAGGTGTGGAAGCGCTAGCCAAGGGACGACCGTGACCGTGACGTCGGCATCTTGGGACCAGGCGGACTGCAGGAGGCAGAACCTTGGAGGGCGTCGAGCTTCATGCTTCAGGGTTTGCTCTGGGGGCTCCGGGTTCCGCAGGCTTCCGTCTAAGGCTAGTAAGGCTGTTGGTAGGCCTGGACATTGCTTCTAGAGGATTGTGTCACAAACGGTTCCGTCGGCCTTGAGCGAGTGACGGAGGTGTCGGAAGTTCAGCTTTCCCACATGCTTTGCGCCGCTAGGTCAAATGGCATCCACATGATCGTCTTACAGGAAGGCGTAGGACCATAATATGGGGGCCTTAGTAATTAGAGTAGGGTTTTGGGGCACATTATACTCGGATCATAATAAGAAGCCCCAAAAATAGTATAAGTAATTATTCAAGCCCCTATATTGCAGAGGACGGCGTCAACTGGGCTCGGAATTCCTAAGCCTTCCGGCTCTTGGTCTTGCAGGGCTCTTCAGATGGCAGGGGGATGTTGAACCCAAACTCCAGATTGTACTAAAACCCCGCAGAGGCCTGAAACTCAAAACCTTCGGAGGAAATTCTGCTCTTTCAGACGCAGGCTTCTGCAAAGTTTCGGGGCAGGCTATCTTGATTGCATCGATGGCACAGCAGCGCACAGCGTCCCAGCATGACGGCCATCGTCCCCGGTCGAGGACATGGCAGGCATGGCTGTGACGAGGGCGTTGGGTCTGAAGCTGCGGGGGAAGCGTGTGGGGCTTGCCACTTCGGCTCTCTCGAAGTACTTGGAGGTCCACTGGTAGTTATAAGTAGGGCTATAAGTAGGGCAACACATATAACCCATATTCGGGGACTTACAGTATATTCAACTATACTTGTAGCCCACATTAAGGGACTTATATTCTCCCACTTAGAACTACCCCTAACTAACCTCCAAGTAAGGCTCGGATGCTCATCCTGGAGCTCTCGGAGCTGAAATGCCTGAGCATTGCACGCGGAGTCTCTACAACCCCAAGTGCAAGGGGCCACACTTTTAGGAGGGTTTGCAATCGGCTGCGGCAGTGCCAGCGATTGCTCTTAGATGAAGTCTTCAAAGCTAGAGCAGGAAAGTGAAACTGACGCGGTGAAGAAGCAACTGAATATCGTGTTGGAGTGCGGATAAATTAATGGAAACAGGCCTTCTTGATCTTGAGCCGAAGCTCCGCACCACTGTAACCCTAGAATCCCTCGTACCAGGTAAAGGGAAAAAGCGCGTAAAAACTCGCAAAGCCAAGGGCAACAGTTGAAATCGGCGAAAGGTGGCATCGTTTTCTTGGCGCACGCTGTACGAGCGAGTTGGCCCCATGCCCCGCGCTGCAACTCCTGAGGCCGAACCGCAACGAAGTTTGGGGTTTAGGATCGACACAGGCTTATCGAAGCTTCTCCGGAGGGATCATGCGAAGGTGCAAAGCTTTAGATGCAGCAGCTCCACCAGAGTCCTCCAGCAAACGCGCGGTTTGCTCTTGGCTTGCATGCTGGCATGCAAGCAACCTGGGCTGAAAGGCTTACTACTCTCCGAAACTCCAAAAACCTCTCAGCTCAAGGGGCTTGCCATGGAATGGTTCTACGTACCCTGCGTGGTGGGTCGGACTTCCGGCTTGCTTTTGGGTGCTGAGGCCCGTCACGTCGAGCTCTTGGGCAAAACCGCTTCGAGTTTCGGACTGGCTTCTGTGCCTGGTGTTTATTAAGGAATGGGGAACTGTATCCCTTTGAGGATGTTGGGTCTCTTTCAGGGATCCTCTCAGGGGATCTTTCAGGTGTAGGGGTTACGGAATGGGGGAATGGATCCCTATGGTAGTCCCTATATAATCCCCAATAATAGTCTCCATAAACCATTCCCCCATTCCCTCCTAAGAACCGACAGCTCTGTGTGCCGCTTGGCTCCTTCCAGGACATAAGTCGAGGACCATGACATGGCAGAAGTGTTGCGACGATCCTGCTCTACCATAAGGGCCTTAATAACTAGAATAGGGTTTTGGGGCGCACTATACCTAGAATAAGGAACCCCCAACGTGGTATTGGTAAAATATTTAGGCCCCTACTGGCCCCAGATCCGCATCCGGCACGAAGCCCAGAAAGCCAAAACGCCAAATGGGAGCTTCCGAAAATCGGGGACCCTAATATAGTACCCCTAAATAGTGGAATCCTCACTATAAGGCTCCCAAAATAAGGTACCCCTAATTTTTGGAAACCCCCTAAATTGCCTGGCAGGCAGCACGTCCCCATACCTTGCCGGGCTCCAGCTCAGGGGCTCTTAAGGCTTTAAGACTCCAAGGCTTTTAGGATTCAGGGTCCCGGCTTTAGCAATGCAAGGGTCCGAATCTAAGGACTCGGATACAAAGCCTTGAAATCTTGGTTGAGTGGCTTCTTGCGGCTGAACTCTTGGCTGGGACCTCAAAACGAGCACAGAAAAATCCAAGAAGAAACCTCAAAGCCCCGGAGGCCTCATGTAGGGCCTTCATGATTAGAGCGGGGTTTGGGGCTCCTCTGTAGTCTTGTCATACTGAGGAACCCTCAGGCATAACAGAGATAATCATGCAGGCTTCTATGGCAAGTCCTGTTCATGCTTCACTATGATGGCACACAAAAAGGGGCCTCTCTCGCCAAATCACGATCCATCATGGCTCCTTTTGCTGGGTTTCTTGTTCAAGCATCTAGTGTAAGTTGCCATAACAGGGATCTATAGTAAATACAAACGGTTTCCATATAATGGTAACTTAAATTAACTCGCTTAGCAAGAACCCAGGGAACCCTTGAAGGAACCCCTATAGATCCCTTAAAGGGACCCTGAAAAGCGCCTTATAAACCCCCCTTTAACAAGAACCCAGTTTGCCTTGCTGGCCCCTGGCTAAGTGAAGCCTCCCCAGCTGCGAAGCCAAAATAAATTCTCTGGGAAGAATGGGCCCTGAAAACCCATAAGTGGTCGGATTAGGGTTCAAGGTTTAGGGTTTAGGGATAGAACAGGGTTTAGGGATTAGGGTTTAGGGTTTCGGGCCCTGAATGCTTTCTGCTGCCGTGGCGCATCGTCGCAGTGGTCTCGATGCCCCGCACCTTCGCCTCCGAGAAAAGGGCCCAGGCCTGATCCGCTTTGGAAGACTTCTGAGGTCTAGGCTCCTTCAGGATGCGGGGCTTAGGCTTGATAGGGTTTAGGGTCGAGGAAGTTTGGGGACCGAATAACGAATCCCTGGCTTTGGGGCTCCAGCTTCCTCGGCTGAGCCTCTGTCTGACCTGCAACCTCATAATATTGGGGCCCTTTATTGGGCCCTGTATGATTAGAATAGGGCTTTGGGCCCCTTCTACCATAATTATCATAAAGAACTCCCAAAATAGTTATGGTTTTTTATTTCGGCCCCAATAGCCTTATAGTAAGCCCCACGTGCCAAGCCTTTTGAGGAGCGCGGTTCACGCAGAGACCGGAACCGGAACTGCCAGAGCAGGGACCCTTCTTTCCCTCAGCTGTACTGTTGCGGTGAGTCTTCGGGCGGATAGCTACTTTGAGGTTCGTGGGTAGTTTTTCGCACGGTTATAAGTAGGGTAATTATACTTATGACCCATGTTAGGGGGGTCATAACCCCACTTATAACTACCCATGAACCTCCAAGTAGGATAGGTCCACGTCAAACCAAAAGGATAGAGACTCCATCCCCCGTTGAAGAAAAGCTGCATGATCAAAAGCAACCAGCACCAAACGTCTAAAGGAATCCCCAAAGAAAGCCGAAACTGCCAGACACCACAAGAAGCCCCGAACCTAAGCCCTAAACCTCTAAACCCCTAAACCCCGAATAAACCCTACACCCTGAGCCGCGCCTGCTGAGGCCTTCCTGCGCGCTCACAGCCACTCAGCGCGGCGGCGAAAGCCAGGGAGGCCCCGGAAGGCAGCGAACCTGGGGCAAGTATCAGGGTGCTAGAAAGCGTGGGGCTCGGGAGAATGGTTTGGTCTGCAGGTTCATGGGTAGTTATAAGTAGGGTTATAAGTAGGGAGGCTATACTTGCAACCCATGTTAGGGGACTTACAACCACCCCTGAACCTCCAAGTAAAGGCATCCGGAAGTCTTGGGATTCAGAGTCTTGGGACTTGGAGGGCAGGACGTCGGAAGTACACCGCGGTTTCGGGTTCACGTCCTGCTTTGGGACTCCCGGCTTCCACGGTTCAAGAGAGACTCCCGCCTTCAAAGCCGCCTTCGGGCTTCGAAGCCTTAAACTTAAACCCTAAACCCTAAGCCCTAAAACCCTAAAAGATCTCGCAAATCTTTGCTGGCTGTTGCAGAGAACCGCTTCTCGCGACCCGGAAGTCGCGGTGCAAAGTATTCGGGGATCAGGACAAGCCTGCATCCCAATGTGCTCTGCAGTTCATAGAACGTTCCCGATGCACATCCTATTCGCGAGGAAGTGATGGTGTGAAAACCGTGCGCATGCTCAGTGTAGCGACTGTCCCTTGCGCATTCTTGCGCTCAGTTGGCGCCTCCTGTGCAACCATCCTGTGACCTTATCTTGTTGGTAATCCGACTTCACGGATTTCGCTAGGGCTCGTGCTGAAAGTATGTCCGAGGGAGGTAGCGCCTGACGCGGGGCCGCGTCCTCGCAAACGAATCGAGACTTCAGAAACACGACTGGATGATCCTCAATACCGGTATTGGCAATACTTGTTGCATTGATAGCAAACGCTGGGCATTGCAAGAGCATGGCGTCCCGTCTGGCGCGACTCTCCCGGACTTCTTGAGCGAGCCATGGAAAGGTTTGTGCGGTTAGCAAGCTGTGAGGAAGTGCCTCCGAGCCCAGGATTCCTCCCAAGACAGGACCACCCACTCCACGGCATGAAAACAACCGCGACGCAAACCGCAGCACCACACAACATGGTGCGCAGAGGGCGAGCGAGGGTGGGCGTCTGCTTGAAAGTGCGAGAAACTCAAAGAGCGCTTCGGTTGTAGAGATGGACGAGTGTCAAAGCAATTCGTCGCCAAGTTTTGATCCAGGACAACAATATATATATATATATATATATATCGCCGAGACGGACCTTGGAACCACATGTTGGGCCC